AAACGCATCGCGTTTTTGTCGCCGCGAGGCTCGTGTCGCGCCATCGGGCTGCGGCGGAGCCGGAGCGCCTGGTCTCGCCTCGGACAGGTTTCCGCAGCCTGGCCGTATTTCAGACACGTTTCCCCTACCCGGCAGAATAAAACGTTGTTTTCAGCCGCTGTCGCCTGCATTGGTGCCTCCCCCCCCACCCTCGCAGTGGCTTAGCAGTCAGGCTGTTTCGGAGACTGTGAATGATCCTAAATCGGGTCCCGGTCATATCGCGGCAGGTATTTTGGCTCAGCGCGGATGTTTGTTTTATGTAATCGCTCACCCACACCTGCATTATGAATAATTCTTTAACAGATGTATCGGGTGTGAATTATGGGGCGTGGTGCTTTTCCAAGCGTGTGTCTTTTTATGTTATTTGTCTGTTTTTGTAAGTGTATGGATAGCACATATATAGAGAAACGTTTGATCAGATGAAATTATTTAGGATTTCTTTGTCTGCTCTGACCTTGTGGTTTGAACACGCTGTTCTGTAACAGGCCGGGCTGTGTTGTTCAAGAGGAGCTCTATTTCTGTTTTGAAGAGCTTTATTGGGAATTATAGCCATTATTGATTAAAGCGTGAGTGAGCGGAAGAAAAGGCAGTGACTCACACTGCTTTCCCCCCACCCCATAACCCGAGATTATTTGAGCTGAAAAACTATAAAAAGTGTATCTTTGTGTAAACTTGTTTTTTCTTTTCTTTTTTTTTTCTTCTGTGTTTGAGATGGCTTGAGCAAGTGAAACAGCAGGTCTAGGGAAAATCCATTTTTCTAGTGGCGGGTGTTGCTTCTGAGGTGTAATTTTGAATTGTGAGTTCTCCTGGGACGGTTTAAACCTGAATAAATGGTTCTTACTGGAACTAAAAATGAAGCCAAACACTTACAAATAAATATTTAATACAGAAACATTGGTGATATAGTATTTGTCTTAAGCATGGCCATTAAGTAATACTTTCTAATTAACCTATAGAGAAATGTCACTGAAATGCAAATTTTCTTGTTTTTCTAACCAGTGGTGTATGTGAGTGCACTGATGAAGAAAGATGTAGA